GCAGATGACGCAACTCATGAAAACAAGAACCGACGTCATTAATGTAAATTGTGAATAAAAATGGGCCTAAATGAAAGCCCTGCGGGATGCCTGACGAAATTTCGAGGAATCTAGAAATATAACCCTTTAATGCCACATCTTGACTTCCATTAGAGATATAGAAACTTACCCATCGATGTAAGTCGGTGTAAGTTTTTTAATTAGTGTCGAGTGACCAATTTTATCGAAGGCTTTAGAAAAATCGGTATACACAGCATCCACCTGATAGCCGGCATCAAGCGCATTAAGAAGGAAATCGGTATATAACACTAAATTAGTATCAACACTTCTGCCACAGAAGAAGTCATGTTGTTGTTGTGATACGTAACGGGATACTGTAATACTAAGATCATCTACTACAATTTTTTCAAAGATTTTGCCAATAATGCATAACATAGAAATTGGTCTGTACTGTCCTACGTCATGTTTATCACCGATACCGGGGATCCCATCGCTATACGGTCAATTTGTAGGTAGAATTCATTATTCCACAACACATAGCCTGATGTTAGGCAGTGTTCTAATAATTCTGCATATTCAATTGACATATTATGTTCCCTTAGCTTTCTACGTACAATTTCAATGCAGTCTTTTACTGGTAGGTTGGTAAACAGCGATTGAACATCAAAACTGACCATGGTGTCATCATAGGTTAACCGTAGATCTTTGATTCCACTGATGAAATGGTATGAATCCTTCACAGAGTGTAGAAGTGTTCCCTCTCAATGGTGACAGTACCTTTGCCATGTGTTGAGCCCGTTTGTAGGTTGGTGTGTCAATCTGGCTAACTATGGGACGGAGTGGGGTGTCAGCCATATGCATTTTTGGTACACATACAGTTTTGGAGGTTTTACGCAGCAGGGTACAAACTAACTTACATCAAGTTTCAGCGTATCGGAGTGCTTAGATATTAACTTAGTTGTTGTTTTTAATATCTTGATGGTAGGGTCTTTCTTCACCTTTTTATACGTGCTTTCATCCGATAGTAAGTCACTTATTTTGCTGTTATAATCTGACGTATTCATGACCACGGTCGCGTTACCTTTATCTGCACGGAGGATGACTAATTCAGGATCTTCGCGGAAGGTCTTCAGCGCGTTATATTCATCTCGAGTAAGATTCGGTCTGGGCTGTTTATTTGAATGCAATATTGACGAAACGTCTTGGTTTATTGCCTCCCAATCTTTCTTTCTCATGTTGTTTTTAACTGGACAATCCTCAATCGTTTACGCCTGAGAACTCGATAGATTATCTGTTATAAATATTTTCGAAACATTGATGAAAGATTCTACATGATTTGATTCTTTGGTAAGGGTAGACGAGCTGATAGGATGACCGGCTAGAATAAACACGGAATGAAAATAGTCATTAATAATCTCAGTACAGAGTACTAAAAAAACCGACCTCAAAAGTACGTGGAATTACATCTATTTGCTAAGTTTCATTGAAATATCCCCTAGTTCGCCACTATACAGGACTTGATACTGGAGATAATAAAAATAGGTTCTCACTACGACACTACTCAAAGAGAGAGAAAAACGCCTTGAATCGGAGAAATAGCAAAATCAACTAAATAATTGCTAAAAGTAATTGCTCCTAAATTAAAGTCAGGCGCTATTTATAAAAATGAATCTTCATGCGTGAACAGCCACCCTTTGAGGTGGTTGATTTTCTTCAAAATAAAATGGGACCACTATGGAGATACCCCCTTTCCAACAAAAAAAGAATTATGAAAATCGGTTCACAAATACCGGAGTTATTGCGTAACATACATACAAAAAAAAAGAAAAAAGAACATACAGTCGAATTGAGAACCTCCTCCTTTTTTGAAGTCGGTTAAAAAGGTTACAAATAGTTTCGCCATCAGTAGAAGAGGAGTCCCCAAAGGTCATATGAGGCGGAATGTAGTTAGGACAGAACTTAGATTTAATAAAATTCCAAAAATATTTCGGAATAGCTGTGATTTTTCTTCGAAAATTTTTATGTAACTATTGTAACATTCTGTCTGTAATTTCTTTGCACGAGAACGTAGTTATTTAAATTGCTAATAATCACGAGGACCTATCTATTAAGTATTAAGTAATAGTTTAATAAACTCTATTGTACATCAATTAGACAAAGGGAACGTTAAAACCCATGCACTTTTATAACGGTACAGCATATTTTACACACTTGACAATTAAAAATGTGTCCAAACATTATTGTCGCTCTCATTCTTGTCTACTTTTAAGTCAAATAGTTGCTTTAAGCCAAACATTTATTTGAAATATAACAATTAGATGGTCATTGTGGTGATGATGACGGTGGTGACGATGATGATGGTGGTGATGATGACGATGATGATTGTAGTGATCATGATGATGATGTTGATGGTGGTGATGAACAACAAAGCTTATATGATATTAACAAAACACTTATTTAGATATATTTATTAATTACATATAGATAGATAGATGGTCTTACACGGATGAGAAGGATTTTGATACAGGAAGTTATATTAAAATATTTGTTACATATTAAATGTTCTTTTGTGAATGACAAAATGTGTGTTGTAATAATAATTTCTCATTACTGTGCTGTCTTTCTCATTTATATTTATGAGAAAATCATTCGTGTTACTGCAATCTCATTCCTGTGAGCTAAAATATCGTTTTTTGTTGTATTTAACTTAAATACTTCTGTGATTTTATAATTATTGACATTGCTTGAACTTATTTGTACGTTTAAGAACTTAAAACCAAAAGAAAAAAGGGTTTTACAAAAATCAGTCAAAAGTGCCATTGAATTTCGAAAAGTGAAATTCACCTTTCAACTTGTAAACGCTCATCCATTCCGCCAACATGTACTACGAGGTCACTCCACTTTGAATTTAGGTCCGATAATTTGTGAGGCAGTGCGAAGGTCCTCCTTAATCGAACCCACGAAATCAGCTCGAAACTCCCTAATTTCCCTTTAAGTTCAGCCAAGGAAGTACCCTGCGATTGCTCATTAGGAGATGCTGCACGGCAGGTCACACAACGCCAGGCAGATTTCTTTTCCAGACCCATTTTCCTATAAGTGGATTCAGCGATTCCAGCACAATGATAATGATAAGTCCCACTGCACAGTCCCCCATGACATACGACGAAATCAGTAACTGGTCATTACAATTGGAACGCAACATTTTAATAAATGCACCGTCGGCAAAACAAGCGATAAGTATCAATATATCCGCGCGCGCGCTAAAGTCAAACGTTCGTCCGTAATGACAAACTCAAGATATTTAACAATTAACTTTTAATTAATAAACAATTAACTGCCTCCGTGGCCGAACGGTTACCATGCCGGACTGCCACGCAGAGGTCCCATGTTCGATTCCCGGGCCGGGAGAAATATTTGTATGGCCTACAATTATTTCTCTCGTGAGTTTGGGTGTGATTTGTGGTTGTCTATATGTGTATCCATGGCACCCGCGACACAGGGTTTCCCTAGTGCGGGGCTATGTTGAGTGTGTGCGTTATTTATTTAAAAAAAAAGAAAAAAAACAGCGAACGAATGAAACTTAAACAATGTGACTTTTGACTGTTCGCCATGTTCTTTGAAGTCTGCCGAAGTGATATTTTGACAAGAGTAATGATGTCTCCGTTTACATTGATTACAGTCTAACCAATTATTATATACAATTTTTGCTTGGCAGTCGAAACAGATCATAGCGAAAGAGTTTAAATGCTGCCTCTGACATGTTAGCGGTATTAGTCCAAAGCAGCGCCGCCGCTGCAAACGATTAGGTGCGTACAGGACGGCGAGAAAGCCTGCATGCGCAAGTAATTATATTTTTACAATCTAATTGAATAAACGTACTGTGATGCCACAGTCATAATAATAGTATCCTTAAACTTTTCTCCGAGAGAAACCCGAGAACCTAAACGGTACACAGAACGAATCGCTCGTTTTTGCAACACAAATATGGTTTGGATATCTGCCGCTTTACCCCACATAGGAGTTCCGTAGGACATTATACTATGAAAGTAACTAAAGTAAACTATTATAGCAGTATCAATACCGGTAAGTTCACGTATTCTGTGGATTGCGTATGCAGCAGAGCTTCATTTGTTGGTCAGGGAAGATATAACGGAAACCATTGAAGTTAATATCTAAGGTACTCCGCAGAAGACTGCTTTGTTAACAATATTTAACTTTTCTCCATTTATTTCTATATTTGAACTAGTTCGTCTTACATTAGGTAATTCCAATTTAATACACTTTGTCTTCTTGGCATTAAGTAATAAATTGTTTGTGTCTCTGTTGTGTGTCTGTCTGTTTTAAAAATTAAGGGTGTATTGTCAGCAAACAGTACTATTTTGCAAAGGTCTCTAACAAAGAATGGCAGATCAATTATAATGTTAAATAAAAAAGGTCCAAGTATTGAGTCCTGCGGAACGCCCATTTCTGCTGGAGAGTTCAAGCACTGGGGAGGTAACCATCTTGAGGAGGTTGTCATTTTTGGGTCATCGCCATCGCGGCATCCGTGAAAAATCTATTTCTTCACTCAGCAGGAGGTACCGTCACTTTAAATTCGTAAGGTCCATTAGTTCGTTCCGTGGTGTAGTTGACATACCGTCTGGCACCCTCTCAAATCCAGCTGTATCGAAGGATTTTTTTCTAAGTGTTCGCATTTAATATCTTTGTATTAATAATTTTAACATACTAGTGGATTAATTTCACAAAAACATTTGAGTGAACACGTGACCACCATGATAGTGGTCGTGCGGCGAACATCATGACAATAAATAAATAAATAAAAAACTAATAAGAGAAGTGATTAAAATAACCGTATTTTATTCAGATACCATCTCCTTGCCCGATACCATCTCTACCCCTAGCGAGAAAATGCTATAGTGTCATAGCGACAGAATGCCTCTAAATGAATGAATTAATGACAATAAAAAAATAACACAATTTAATATTCTTTTCAATTATTTATTTACATGAATTTTAATTCTTCAATTAAGTTTCATTTATCGTGCCCGATGTCACAGACAGTACCTCTTATTAAATCACGTATATTGGCCCTGAAAATAAAAACATTTCCGTTTATTTCTTACAGTGTTTTGGTAATTAAATTTCAAATGCACGTCCCGAAAGAGGTACGCCCGGAAGTGTTTTACCGCATGCCAAATTTAACACAATAGACACGCCGAATTAGAATGCCTTTTAGTCGGTCACCGGTTCCAGAATTTTCGGTAACATAATTAACGGGTTATAGTGTAGATCATTTCATACAGTTAATTCCCACTTCATCGCATAAAATACTCCTATATACATATATCATATTAAGGACCACCTAGGTTAGCGGCAGTAGAGCTCCTGTTATTTGGATAAGGTTCCACAGTATCTGAAGACCCGTTTGTTTAATCAATGTGTTCTGCCCGCCGTGATGTATGGTGCCGAGACATGGACGCTCACGCAGGAGATTGTATACAGGTTGAGAGAGGCACAGAGACCCATGGAGCGCACCATGCTCGGCATCAGCCTTGTGGACCGAGTTCTGAACGTTGAGATCCGACGACAGACGAAAGTCCAAGATGATGGAACTCGGATCATGGAACTCAAATGGGATTGGGCGGGACACATAGCAAGGAAAGGTGATGACAGGTGGAGCAAGACGTTGACTGAATGGGCAAAAGATGCGTCAGGCGTCTTGTTGCAAGGTGGGTCGACGACATAGTACGCGTCGCGGGGCGTCAATGGATGAGGCTAGCATAGGACCGTGGTGGATGTCACAAATTTCGGGAGGCCTATACTTATTAGGTGAAATCAGGCTGTGGATAATATTGACGATGATAGCTCCTCGTAAAAGAGTTCGTTCAGGGAAATACTGTCACTTTAGGGCGCGATCCCATTATGTCGTAACGTTTTATCATTAGACGACTGTCGCGTTTAGCATGTTCCCATATCGCGGGTAACCTATCACGAAGTCGAATATTTTTTTGTCCGAAATAACGTTTGTTCGAATTTTCATTACACCGAAAACCGAATTATACCGAAACAGATTGTGTTTTCAGGATATGTTGAATGTTTATCGCAGACACGATTAGGTTCGGTTAGGTTAGGTTTAAAAGAAAAAAACATTTTGCTCTCAAAATTACTTTCGAGGTTATGAAATTTCGACCAAATGTTATTTCTGGAACATGTCATTTCGGACTACTGATAGGTAACCCATATCACGACTATTTGTCGTGACTGTGTCGTGAACGTTTATTTTATCGTTGAACGACTGTCGTGTCTAGCTGTTCCCATTATGTCGTGTCGATTTGACTTACTTGTGTATGTAAAAATTGACTTCATCAGGATTCAAAGTGGAGAAAATAAATACTGGCATTTGATTCACGAGCACCCATACTTCATCTTTGATCACTTTAAGATCTGAAAATAATGAAAATTGCGTTAGGTATTTTTTTGTAAGAAAAAATAACGTAACGTACAACACTAGAAGTTCCGTCGCACACCGCTGGATGGCGTTGAACTATTTTTCTTGAGGTTCTATATTGCTAGGTTTTTTAAACCATTTATTTTCACACACAAAACAAAAAAATAATAATTTACCGAAATGAAAAATATAATAGGTTTTTTTTACAATTTACAGAAATAATTGTAATTATAAAAAAAAATTATTCCAATAAAAAGAATTAAATCAAAATAGGAAGAATAAAGCATGTGTATGACAGACACGAGCTTAGGAAAATGCTGAAATCAGTTTGCGATGATTTCAACCCTGATTTTCAGCCCGACCCGGACTCCGAGACCCGAGCTCTCCGTGGTCGATCGCACGCACAAATCGCAAACAACGTCAATTGAAGATGAAACGATTGATGAAAATAGTAATAAAAAGAAAATAATAATAATAATAACTAAAAATAAAGTTATGTATTCTATACAATTGTTCTACATATTATATTCTACATAATATAGACACCGCACAGTATCGTACGTAGTAATGATATGATATATGCATTATATGATATCGTGGTTGCGTAGGTTTTGAAGCGTGTGAAGTAGACGCAGAGAGTGCTTTGATCTCATTGCACGATATTTAAACATTTAGAAACAACCTTTTAGAAATAAAGCGTACTCTCTTAGTGTAAAATGAGCTTACAATCGCCTAACGTATTTATTAGGATGTAAGCTAGCTAGACATGGGGAATAGCGTTACATTTCTATCGCCGCCGTGACTTTCGTTCCGGTTCCGAAAAAATCACAATAATAAATCATCGTGATTTTGTCACGACTGTTACTTCCGTGACCTTGTCACGTCTATAACTTACATCACGATATACGGTTTTAGCCAGCGGCTTCTTTCTAATACTTATAGCCGTTTTTTATAGAATGATTTAAGTGTTTACTACCTTTGTAATAAGTTTCAATTCCATTCAAAAAGTTGATTTTCTATTTAATGTAATTTTGTTTGTTACTTATTTAATGCGAATCTTTGGATTGTTAAAAATAGCAATAAAATGTAATGTAATTATATTTCCAGTAGAATACACAAAGTACATTATACATAAATATAAAATACCAACTCTTCCTATAGTAAAACAAATATACAAAAATATTTCACTTTGTTCATAAATAGGTTTATAATAACTGCTGCAGATTTTTTTCATCCGCCTTTTCTAGTAGTAATAAGCACCTACGACCCTTGTGAGTGAGCAAAGAAAGTCATCCTATTTCATTCACTCCCATCGCCGAAATGGCCCGATTTGAAGAGAACTACAACGAGTGGCGCGCTCAGTCACCACGGAACGGAGATCGCGCATTGTATCAAATACGTATGTCGTCATGTGAGTGACGGGGATAGCTATTGGAACGGAGGAACACCTATGGGACTTTGGAACGTCGTTCCTTCGGGTCACGGTGATACTGTTTGACGGCGGATCATCGTGATTTTTTTCATCGTGACGTTATTTATCACCTCTAAAGCTAGCCATAACGGACAAACTAGATATGAGCCAAAACAGATTGAGTCTTCTGGAGAATTCTCACACACTCTCTTGTATCTCTTGTATGGTTTTGTAGAGTTCGTCCTGGGATGTATTACCATGATATCTATCTATTTCTGCTGCCAAGTAATAATGTGAGCATTACTGGTTTCCGGTTTGGAACGATAAGAGTGCTTGTGAAATTACAGGCACATGGGACTTAGGGACGTGTCAACTTATGTTTCACGGGCGGAGTGGCAGTGCTCCTAACATCTTTGCGATTTAAAGCTCTGAGTGGCACTGCAACTGTTATGGATAGGCTTGTCGCTTACCACCAGGCTCTCGACTTCTTCGTCCCGTCACCTGGCATTAAAAAAATCCCGCAGCTACAGAGTCGCTCTAGTTTGTATGTTATATAATTAATATAAAGTACAATAAGATATGTACAATTTCTTTAAAAAAATTTAGTTCCATTCCCTTATGCGGCAGTGTAAATTGAGCTTATATTCTGCGATTTGTACTTACCAGAAATATAGACCAATTTCTTCCGATCCTGTGCAGCAATACCAACGTTATCTTCTGTCAGAGCAGTATCTGTTCTCCAGCAGAGAATGGCGTCTTGAGCGACGTTGGCGAAGAATAGAATTCTGGTTTCGGGATGGTAATCATGGGAACCGCTTTGAGTTAGCGGTCCTCGGTTGCCTAGGAGCTGGAAGATTTAGAAAAGATGCCTCTGTATCAGCGGTTTAAAGAACAATCCTGCGTACACTCTTATCCGCATAAACGAGTTTTAAAAATATGTGGGCAACGTTGGCACACGCTCGCCTAGAAGAGACCTGTATACTTTACCTCTAACTTATCCAAGTTAAAAGGTGAAGTATACAGGTATCTTCTAGGCGAACCAGATAACCTGGATAGGTAGTCTGGTTCATGTAACAAGGCTCACTTCTGAGTAGTACGCATAATTGAAACGTTGACACCAAACTATAATAATAATAACGTAATACAATCATAGCCACGCACTAGGGAAACCCTGTGTCGCGGGTGCCATGGACACACACATAGACAACCACAAATTACACCCAAAGTCATGTCACCCAATGTGTATATTACAATTAATAATCCAAGGCAAAATACAAGGAAACAGATGTGTAGGAACAAGGAGAATATCCTGACTCAGAAATTTATGCCAGTGGTTCTATAGAAGCAACCGATCATTATTCAGAGCTGCAGTGTCCAACGTTCAGATTGCCATTATGATTGCCGACCTTCGTTAGAAGATGGCACATGAAGAAGAAGAAGATAATGAAAACCCAACTGAAAAGTAAAATCAAAATGTAGAAAAGAAAATGAAGAATCGGCTTGAAGTATGGCATATGCCAAAGCCGTTAGATTTCAATAAAAAAAGAAGAAAATGAATTTCCTGTACTATGAGAGCAATGGAATTCACTCCGGGGCATTATCCACGACATCCAGAATAGACGAATTTAGAAAAGCATATTTCCCAAATAAGTCGTTGCAAAAAAGAAGAAACTCTATCAACACATATTTAGTTGTAAATAGATTTTGCTTTCGATTTCGGGCATTAATGTGTGTAAATTCTGGAACGAAATTTAGGGAATAAAACTGCCGAGATGTGGTTTCATGCATCGTGTTGAGCCAGAGATAAAGCAAAAAAAGAGAGAGTTTTTGCAATGTGGATCACGGTTTATACAACGTCGGGGCCCTCTGGGCGTTCCCAATATGAACCATCTACCTATAGATATTTATAGCGCCACCTAGCGAATTTACCACACACTACTTGATGGTACCCAGTATACCGCGCCGTAATGTTAGCGTTGCTCGCCAGGTGTCGCTACTAAGAACGGGTTTAAGCCTAAAATCAAATGGGTTAATAGTAAAAAAAGAGGGTAGACAGGCGTGTCTGTTCTTAAGGCTGTCATCTGCCGCTGGCCTGGCCAGTCAACCCGCGACCATAGAGCGTGTAACCGTTCGAAATATCGGGAAAATAAAAAGAAATCGTAATGTGGTAAGAAACCTGTTAGCGATAATCATTAAGTCAAAGTAAATAATCATTTATTCCATAGGTACAATTTTTACACTTGAAAACGTCATTTTTAAAACTACTTTTTAAGCTACTGCTCGTTCACTATGCTGACCTCCCAGAGAAGAATGAGCAAGAAACTGCTCTAGGGACTGCTCTTTTCAAATAAACTTAAATGCTACGGAATACACTTTGAATCATAATTGTGTGGAATCTAGACTCTTGTTGTCTTTCCATACTTATACGTATACTGCCTCCGTGGCCGCACGGTTACCATGCCGGACTGCCACGCAGAGGTCTCAGGTCGATTCCCGGGCCGGGAGAAATGTTTGTATGGCTTACATTTATTTCTCTCGTGAGTTTGGGTGTAATTTGTGGTTGTCTATGTGTGTGTCCATGGCACCCGCGACACAGGGTTTCCCCTAGTGCGGGGCTATGTTGAGTGTGTGCGTTATTTATATATACTTCTTTATCTAAAACATACTCTTCAATTTTGTAATATGACTTTTCAATTAAAATACTTTTAATGTAAGTTTTAAACTTACGAAATGATAATCTTAATATAATCTCCGGAATCTGATTGTAGAAACGTATACAGTTCCTCATAAATAATCCTTTACCTTAGTTAAATTGTATTAAATTTCTCACCATGCTATTTCCATTAAGGTTTCGCACTCCGCTTTTCAAGATCTTAGTGTCGACTGCAAATTCTTGGGTGGATACAAGGGAATGGTAGTAAGCCGTTCTTTTGCCTTTATCATCTGGCTCTGATAGGGCAATGCTGAATAAACCGTCTTGCCAGGTTATTAAATAGCCTGAAATAAAAATCCAAAGTGTGTTTCAATAATGAATGCACTTACATGGGTCAATTTCGTAACAAGTCATCTTATTTTTAACTCTCGTCTTATTTAAAGTAAAACATTTTGCACAGGTAGCAAATTTATTTACTTCTATATTGCATATGTACATTAAGAATTGATACTGCCTCAGCTTGAATTCAATTTTTTTCCTGTACTAATACGGTTCACTTTGCTTGGGTCGTGCGGGAGGGACACTGGCTTTATTTCAGAATTTATTTTTTCACCAACGACGTTAAAGCCATTTGAAAAACGTATCGTATACTAAACGTGTTCTATTTAGTCCGGTTGATATAAAAAAAGAAATCATTGGCGTCTGTAAAGTACCCATTGAATGCTGCGGTGTTCTTGTAAAGTTTCGAGGTAAGTTTGTTGTGTAAGTTTTTCCTGTTATGCGAAATCGACCAAAGCCATTTGAGGTTACTCTTAAAAAGGCCTTATGTATGGTACACGACCCAGTCAGGGTGTAGCAAGGAGACTTAAAAACTAATTTTTAAATTATTATATACTCAATATATTTATTGCATTCATATGGTAAACATGTCTTAAATTTAAAATAATGCTACACATATGAGCCCTTTATTAGGGATAACAATAACAGCAGAGGTAGGTCGAGGTTTCAATTATTAATTAAAATTGTTATTTATCAAATAATAATATTAAAAAAAGTCATATAATAATAAAGAAATACGTCATATTATGAGTAGAATTATGTCACTTGAAAGTTTGAATTTAATTAGATTATAATTATAGATATATAATTATATACTATAAAGTCATGCCATGCCACTGTAGTGCTACTACAGTAGCATAACACCATAGTATATAATGAACATTTATTTATTATTCAAATGTTATGTTATTATTTTTATTTGTCATCAAAGTATTCATTTAAATTGTAATAGCATGTATTAATAAGATGTATACATAAAAGATATGTATAATAAAAGATAGCATTTATTAATACTTCTTACTTAATTAATAGAAGAGATAGACATGTGCTTTCCGTGAGTTGTGACTTATTTTTAACCGACTTCAAAAAACTACAAGGTTCTCAATTCGGCATTGGAGGCACGCTAGTTGAGTCACACAGGTGAGAGTAATTTAAAAATCTTACCAGCCGCAGTAAAATTCACAGCACTGCTTTGGTATTTAAAGCTGGGGTCTTCAATTCGCCAGCTGTCATTATCTTTCATCGAGTACACTATCATTCCGGAAGTGGCTAGGTCATTAATGTATGCGTATGCGTCGTTACAGCAGTTAGGTGAGACGTCTATTGTTATTGATGTTAAACCTGTAAGAAATAATGAACAAGGGTCAGCGATGGGAAAGTCCGGGTTTTAACGCGGCGTTTTGTTAATTCCGGATATAAATCGGGTTAGAATCAATCCTGTGGATCCTGTGGACTGCCCATCTCTGTTAAGGGTTCATTTACACCAAGTCGTCGGAGAACCGTCACGTGTCGGTGTAAATTAACGATGGGCGAGATGCAAAAATGTCAGTCGCACCAAAAATATTATCCGTAGTCGTATTTCAAATCATCAGTAAATTTTATTTTAATAAATTTTCAATTTTCTATTTATCTATTCGTTCAGATGTTAATCGTTCGTCGTAGTCCAGGTACTGGTCGCAAGATGGCAGCATATTGAATAAAATTTCAATATAAAAGAAATTCCACTTATTAGAGTGGAAAAAAGAGCGCTTGTCCCCATCAGGGGGGACAGCTGGTAGGGACTAATGGAATAGGTCGGATTTTGTGGGGATTCGTTGACACATCGATTGTTTGATGGTTGTTGATAAAAAACTTATCGGGCAACCTTTAGCGAGTGACGGAGCCCTGGTATGGAGCCGTTCAATGTAACAGGCGGAATTATGTCCCATGTTTAAAGGCTTCTAAAAAAGCGTGAAGTGAATGTTTTTATAATATCCGGATTGTAGAGAGATGAAATTAGTACTGTATAATTTTGAAATGCATAGTAACAGTGCTTACCTCCTGGTGTCCTCTCGTTGACCAGATCAGTGTCCTTGAGTTCATACTTCACCACTAGCTTGTCCATTTTCAGATCAAAGGCGTAGATGGTTGGTTTCTTAACTTGCTTTCTTTCTCCTAAAAACAAGCACAGGTTGCATGCGATTTGTAGCAGCAGTAGAGCTTACTTCTGCCTTACCTATTTCTGCTGCCAAGCAGTAATGAGAGCAGTACTGCGTTCCGGTTTTAAGGAATAGGGGTGCTGGTGAAAGTACAGGCACATGGAACTTGTCAACTTACGTCTCAGGGTGACGGGCGCAGTGGCAGTGCCCCTCATATCTTTGCGATTTAAAGTTCTGAGTGGCACTGCAACTGTTATGGATAGACGTGTCGCTTACCACTAGACGCATGCTTGTTCGTCTCGTCAAAAAAACATTAAAAAAAAATTATTTAGACATTTATTTCAGGCCACGTGGCCTATATATACCTTAGAGACTAACATACATACAATATAATAAAACACTATTTCTAACTAATCTAAACACGAATTGCACTCGGCGACGTGTAACGCAATCCGGTGTCGGGTAACCGGCCGCGGAATCGCCGATATATGACACTCTTCGGCCAAAATTCTTCCTTCATAAAGGTCGACAGATGTTCGGTCGGCACTCTCGCCACAAGCGAATTAAAATTCACGTTGTGGCGGGACTCGCTTTGAGCCTGATGTACTCCACTATCTCCTCAGACTTCGTGGAGTAATGTAGTCGCGACAGGTACAGCAGCGTCATCGGTGTTGCCGAACGGAGCAAAAAGTTCGATCCTGTCGGTGCCACACAGGTCACGGCTGGAGGGCTTCTTCCTCCTCTTCACCACCTTTGTGAAGCCGTCTTCGTCGCATTGATCCGTCTGCCTCTGTGGTTTTGCAACTTTGGAGACAGGCACACGGGGATTACTTTTACTCTTAGCCGATTGCTGCCTCTCGAGTTTCGAAGTGGCGGGTCGGCTGGTAGAAGCGGCTACAGACATGCATACGCCTGACGTTTCCACCGGGGCGGAGGCGTGGGCAGCAGGGCGCGGCCCATCGCACGCGACGGCAGCAGCGATCGGTGACGCAATCATTTGTGCCGACTCGACACTGTTGGTGAATGTATTTTGCGCCCCACGACGCGTGTTTACATTAGAGACTTCAGGCGACATACATACCGAAGCAGCGTTGCTTAATAACGCAACTTGGGCATGCAGTTCACTTACGGTATTATCTGAAGCCAATCTACACTGCAACTCAGCCAGGCTTGACTTCAGGGAAGTGATACCCTTCAGCAGTCTGGTAACATCGACGTGGTCGAACGTGACGGGAGGCAGATTGTGCAGCTTCTTCGCCACGAATGTAGGCACGTCGTCCGGGTCAGTCTCTTTCAGGAGTGTGATAACATCCTGGATACTCTTCACGCCTCCATCCCTCCGGCGAGATGGCGGCTGCTCAGCTTTGCCAAGGCTCTCGAACAACAGCATCTTGCCACTGCAAATCTCATCCTCGTTAAAATTGGATTTGCAGATCTGCACGATGCTGACTTCGTCCATGGTGTAGATGGCGTGTTGGACAAACGCCAAAAGCTCATTGTCTATGAGTTGTTGGGAACCCATTGCACCTTACGCGAAACTCGAATTATAATAATTCTCACTGCGTATTGGACGCGTCCGTTTCCGAACGCGCACCGAATGCAATGCAAATTTTGACATCGATTTGTTTTATATCGATAACGTCACGTCACGTACGTACGTCATTAAGCAGGTGAGAGACAAACCAGAATATCGACTTCCCACTCCGATGATTTACAGTCGAGTCTGCAGCGAGTAAATAATCTTCCTATAACGCAGTGGCGAGGCGTCCACATAAATCAATTTTACGTGTAAAATAATTAACCAGTGAAATAAAGTGTACTAGTATCTTGTGTGCTTAAGTGTTGTGTTTTATTGTCGTAAAGCGCCATTTTGTCAAGACAAGTGTTTTTTGTTTTGCTTCGGCTTCACTAAAGACAATTTTCACGCCTCGGTACTGCTTTAACGACTGATGTGGTTACTAACATTGTTTTCCATTTTAATTTATTTATAATTTCGCATTCTATTCGACTTAAATAAGTGAGTTGTCTGTTACTTTAGTCAATATGTCCGAGTCTCACGGTAGTTGTCTATTTAAAACTTCGCAAAGACAATTTATTTATGAACTATGACAATATTATGTATTAATTGGTATTGGTCCAATCACTCAAGAGGACTGCCAGTCGCGATACAAGAAAGCCTAGTCGTATTAAGGACGTATTGATACACCAGTGGCCGTAGCATGGTAGAATATGTGTGATGAACCTTCTTGTGACAATATTTATTTCAGTTGATAAAGCCAAGTTTGCTTATTTGATTATAAACTATTGATAAACATTTGAAAAACGAGGACAACGACTAAAAATTGTGTATATAGCTTTGTCATTTAATCATCGCCGCGAAAATCATGAAACAAAAAATGTCTTTTCATCTCGTTTGTCACGCTCAATTTTTACGTTGATGAAATTACTGTGCAAATGTTGTAAATTCAGCTGTGACCTTACAGCCATTTTTGGCACTGTGTTAATCTTTTGCAGTCACTGGTCGCCGGCGCTCGCGATGCTATAAAAATGTGACGTCGCGGTGCTCGCCATGTTCGCTATTGTGATAAAATTTTAAAATGGCGGTTTATCACTCGAATTTGACAGCTAAATGTGGATTAATAGCTTTATCGAGGGGGGATACTACGGGGACCGACGTCGCGACGAGTACGAAATAGCTATTTTTGTAAGTAATTTGTTTTACGTTGACGAGCTGCAATTTATCAAGGCCTCTCTAATTTCTAGTGATAACAAACAAATTAACTTGATGGCGGTTATTGCATAGATTTTTATGGATAGTGCCGGCTATTGTTCTATTTTGTTTACGATTACCGCCATCTACCCATATTAGGTAGCGTTAATTTATAAATTACTTTGTAACACACAATGCCATCTATTGACGCACATATTTGTCTCATTATCAATATTTGAAATTACAAGGAAAAACAACTGACTTTGTTTGAGCTGGCGAAATTACAGACACATGGAACTTGTCGAATTATGTCAGGGTGTCGGGCGCAGTGGCAGTGCCCCTCAGATCTTTACGATTTAGTGTGAGGCCAGACGAGTGTAATTTTGTGAGTTGTGAGTCGCGTAGTTTGAGTTGCGTAGTTTGCGTTGCATTCGGTTTGTTTAACACGTCGACGCAAAATGAGTTCTCTGTCGACTCACGGGCGTAATGATGACTGACTTTCGGTCGCATCGTGTGACAGGTTGGCGCGGGTGGAGGTAGGGGTCACTTTGGTATAAACGCTTAAAAAGCAACTGAATAAAATACGTTCGTCTGGCGCTCCAACCGAATATCGGTCGAGCGCAAACTGCGCAATCGAAAAAACGCAACTCACAACTCACAAAATTACGCTCGTCTGGCCTCACACTTTAAGAGCTGAGTGGCACTGCAACTGTCATGGACAGGCGTGTAGCTTACCATCAGGCGCACGACTTGTTAATCCCGTCACTTGATATTATAAAAAAAGGACTTTAGATGATTGAATTGATACCCACGGTCATTTACATAATATAAACTAATTTCAGTCTATTGATCAGCGCCATCTAAATATAAGACGGAATTTTGATCTTCTTCTGAGGTACGATCTTGTGGTATGGAGATTGGCATTCATTTTCAGTTATTGCTCCATGGTATTACTTACCAGGTATTTCCAATAATCCAGTATCGACAAACCAAATGCGTCCACAGTCGTCGATTCTCGGTCTGTATACAGAGACGAACTGCTCTATATAACGTGGGCTTGGGAATGGATACAATACCGAAGATGATTGGTCTGGTAGAATAAAGTTTATGGTTGAGGGAATTCCTAAAAACAAAAATATCTATTATAATTATATCTATTATAATATTAACGAAATATATAAAAATATATTTCGTGTCCGCCGTTGGTCGACATTGTTCTTTACCATGGTAAAAAAGAACAATGGCGAACATAGAAATGTAGGTTAAATCGTGCAAAATAGCTGCGCTTCCGTTTGATAATTTTTTATGCAGTTAATTTTCCCACCCTCCCTCCGCATAAAGGGAGGAGAGAGGGAAAATTAACTGCAATAAAAAGTAATAAAAAAATATTATTGACGTTTGCTATTATTCAACTGGTGACATACCTTAATTTTTATCACGTTTTTGACATAATAATATTAACATAATTTAAGAACATTTGTTAGGACGATTCTTTTGTGTTAATAATTTATTTTCTTCAAAGATTCTTTTGTGCAACTGTGACCATAAATTATTAATTGAATGATAAAAAAATTGTATCACTATATTTATGACTTTTAATGTTAATTATTGTGATCTAAATTTTTATATTGGTTTTGATATATTTCATAATTGTAATAATTATTGCCACAGCTTGTATACGAGATTAATAATTAGTTCAGTTATTATCGTTGTAGTGCTGTTACAGGGTTCATGTGCTGGAATACTATTATGTAACACATCTGTTAATCCACATGAAACAATGAATTATGATTTACTTTACCTGCACATTATGAAAATAAAATAGGTTGACTATTGTATTCCTTGCCTATGATTAAAATTCATACTTTAAGAATGAATAGGTACACGTGCATAGTATAGTATTCATTAAATTATCGAAAACTTATCGATATGCCTCATCTCTAACAAATGCATTGTAATGAAGTAACCTTTGCACGATGTCATAAAGAATTAATCAATTTTAGGAAAAAAGTGATTTTCTCCTCGTTCCTCGCAAATAAAAATTGATTTGGTGTTATTTTTACCTTAATTTAAAGTACTTACTTAAACAAAGGCTATTAATTTAAATGCGAGGCTTATAAAAATAGTTAATGAAATACTTAAATTACTGCACGTTGTTACAAGGTTATATTGTGTAGATTTTTATGAACAGTCCTAGGAATCATCCTAGATTATTTTTGGTATAATGCATAATAAATTTGAAAAAAGTTCACCATATTGTCGCCTAGGTACTGTGACAAACACTCTGTTGTTATCCAACTCCACGCCAGAAGGTACATTGTTGTACTGTATAAAGAATTTCTCGGACTTCACCGTTCCATTGTTGCTTTTGTTAGGTACATTTTTGTCATCTGTATCTTTGGAATCTGAAAAGAATATCTATGTAATATTTGACTTATGCAGTGTCGGCGAGGAGGGGTGCGTAGAAAGTATATTGAGGTGCTGACTTCGTGCACAAGGTGTATTCACAAAAAGGGCAAATTTATAGGGCGTGCTAGCATTGGTGTGAAACTCAACAATATTTTTTAAGGACACTTTTTTAAGGTCATAGGAATGCACATAACGATTCCATTTTTTATGAAGATCGATTTATGTGTATGCGATTTAGCGATTTTTTGTATCGATTCTTTTCAATGCGTTTTTTAAGCAAATTGATTCAACTTACATTTGTCATCCACTTACAGATGTTCTATATTTATCGTTTAGTGATGAACTTTTTCCAGAACAGCTAAAAACTTCTGTTGTGAAACCCCAAACAAATATAGACCAATTATATTAATCCCAACTCTATGCAAATTATTTGAAAGGGCTCTGCCTTCCAGACTGAATGCATTTTTAGAAAAACAAAATAATACATCACTCTCAATTCGGATTTTGAAAAGGTAGTTCTACAACTCTTGGATGTTTTGAGTTTTTACGCATTATAACGGAAAGCATAAACGTCTCTAATCCTGTAATGTTCGCAATTCTAGATATGACCAAAGCCTTCGATTTTGTAAAAAAAATCGGACTCAATATACAGAAATAAGTAGAATTAAAAACAAATTTTTAAATCGCACTTTAAAACGACTACTTAATGATGGAATTCCGCAAGGTAGCGTCTTGGACCCGTTACTATTCCTACTCTACATTAACGATCTCTCATGTGCTATTGATCATGATTGTATACAATTTGCTGACGATACAACTCTTATAATAGAATGCCAAAACAAAGCAACTTTTAAAAGTTATTAAGTTATTATATCGGTGTTAACACCGATATAAATAAAGCACTATCAGACGTAATAAGTTGGATGGACATTAATGACTTGAATATTAATTAATATGAGTAAAACGAAAGTTATGACATTTAGATCTTATAACTCAAATCCCATACCGGTTAAAATGAATTACAACCCTGATATTGTAGACAAAGATGACACATTTAACTTTCTTGGGATAACAATCGACAAGAACCTTAACTGGAAGGAGCACAATGAGCAGATTTGCATGAAGCTAAATTACGTTCTACGAAGAGTAAGGCCAACTATTTCTCGAGAAGCTGCGTTGACGGCCTATCATGGCTACGTTTCGTTGCTCAGCTACGGTCTTGTACTGTGGGGCAAAGAGCTTTTAGGGTCCAGAAGAAGTGTATTCGAGCGAATTGCAGTGCGTGGTTCGAAGACAGTAGCCTACCGCGGTAACTTCAAAAGGCTACCTAAATCTCAAAAAAAACGTTTAAGCTAACGCTGCGGGAGCATCTGTTAAATTTGCAAAAATTGGGGATATGAGTGGCTAGGGTATTTGCGGTTGTCTCTTGTTTGTCCACGTCAGGGTCGGGAGCGCGTCATGCTTGACATTTAAGATTTAAGATTTAATTTCAACTCTGTGCCGCTTGCGATAGGAACGGTCCAAGGTCCAAGGTTTGTTATGCCGGGCTTGTTATGCTCTTGGCTGTACCTCGTTTCAGGACTGCAAATAGTGTATTATGTGTGGAGGTTGGGAGGAAGAAGATTGAAAATTAATAATTTAAAAATTAAATCGGATTTTTGTTGGATTGCGAGTGGCGTCTCTATCCTATAGGGTCCTGGCAGAATACCAGCGTCGCGGGCAGCCGCGTCATTTATGCTGAGCCAGCGCCTTTTTCACTGCCATGATTTCCAAGTGTAATATTAGTAGATAAGAATATCATTATTGTTATATACATATAAGTTAATGCCTATATCATGTATCTGATGTCATGGTGGTGAATAAAGCTTTTATCTATCTATCTATCTATCTAAATAATGCCTTTGCCATGCATGTACATTAGGGATATTTGCGTATTTGTCAATTCTCATCCTTTGTATTTTAAAAGACGGGATGAAGTCATTCAAAGGCAAACTAGAGCAAAAGTTATGAATATTTTATACCAATCTCGTTGCCATGAAGTAATTTATAAGAATAACGGCTTCAATATGTGTAATATTTTCAATAAATTACTAAATTAACATACTTTTAATTTATATTATCGGCAAAACGGCTTTTGACACATTCCTTCTATAGTAATAAAGAATACTTGGAATTTATGTATTTATTACATTAATTTGAAACTATAGAGACTAGACATTAAATCCATTATAATTAAATCCAATATTTGCACATCTGCTTGCAGGTTGAATACAACGTAAAATGTCAAAAGCATGCGGTCCGATCTGTGGATCTATACAGAATTTTAGAGGCATATGATCCATTACGATCCAAAAAAAATCGATTCAAAATCGTCGCTGATGGGCTTAACTGCGCGACCGGATAAACCCTTTCACCTCAATTTATTTATACACATCTATGGACACATAGTTGGACTTACAGTTTCATACATTTAATATAGTTAGATTTATATTAGTGTGTCGCAATCTGAAGTGACGGCTTGTGCTGTGTGCATGAAACCGCTGCCGTTCCGACGTGTCACGACACGACACATCAGATAAATGCATCGAGTATATAACATCCAGAAATAGAGACGAAACATCATTTAATTTTTTGAAAACTATTCTGCCGTATCATTACTGTGACAACTGCACTCCGATTGGCCAGCCCGAGTTCGAAACAATTGACGGGTGTCGTCTATTTCACTTCAAATCGACCAGTTAACCTGAGCTTTGCTATAATGGACAAAAACTGCAAAATTATATATTTAATATTTAATTACTGATGAAATTTGATTCAGTTTGTTTTGTAATTAGATAATAATAATTTATTTATTTATTTATTTATTTATTTATTTCTTGGCACAGCTACAGAATACAAATTAATATAAATATTTATAATATTAGATATGATAATATATAATAGAAAGTAAATTTGCACTCCTATAACAGCTGTGCACAGCTCTATCATATAGTCTACATAGTGGCACACTTTAAGGTAAAAAGAAAATAAAAAGACTAAATAAAATTACATGATTGGCAGCGACTATGTCATGAGTCATCAAACATAAATGCAATCACATATCAATACAATATAACAAAATTATTACAAAATTATCGGCTCCAAAATATACTGTTGTTTACACCGCTTTAAGATTGCAAAATTTTCAGATAATAATAATAATAACGCTCACAATCAACATAGCCCCGCACTAGGGAAACCCTGTGTCACGGGTGCCATGGACACACACACATAGACAACCACAAATTACACCCAAACTCACGAGAGAAATAAATGTAGGCCATACAAATATTTCTCCCGGCCCGGGAATCGAACCTGGGACTTCTGCGTGGCAGTCCGGCATGGTAACCGTTCGGCCACGGAGGCAGTTAGATATTTCGCTGTTTTTCCCCACACCACCGAATGGAACAGCACACCATTGTTAGAGATATTATCTTTATTACAATAAATAAAGAATGTTTTTGGACTATACGGCGACGTACACACATGTCAGTTGTTGGCGCTGTCTATATTTCAGTGCAAACGAGAGTTGATATTTATAAGTGATGTATCACTGATCAGTTACAAGGAATGTATGGCCCTTACTGTATTTCTATTTCTGGTTATATGCTGGATATTATAGAGAGTGCATTATATTTACTTACAAATAACTCCATCAATAGAATAACTCAGTTGTTTCCATGAAGCTACAGTTGTCAACTTCTGTTTATCTCCCCAATGTTTAGATCCAAATACATAATTATTAATCACGAATAATACAAGTATACACTTAAACATCTTTGAGGAAACGTCTCAATGTGACCAGTATGAGTATGAAACTGCTTTTTAAATAATCGGTTCGACGTTATCTATACAGATACAGGTTGTTCCGTTAAAAAGAAATTAAGAAGCAATTATAATTGGGATAAAACAAACTGCTCTTAAGTATCTCTATATTTAAGAGCATCATTCTATATCTATCTTAAGCAGATTCCAGAACTAAACGGATTTCTATTTTATTAGTAAATTAGAAAGCTGCAATACCTGTAACAGTATATAACAAAATCACATAAGGTACAATGCCTTGCATACAATGTACTATACAAGGTTTAGAGGTATTGGAAATTCAAATTCAAATTACCTTTATTTCATAGATAAGCTAATTACTTTTGAAATCGTCACATGCATTTAAACTCTACTGCTCATTCGAGAGGCAGAGTCCCCAGCGAAGAGAAAACCTCTAGGGGTTGCTCTTTATATATACATTTGAATACATTTAACAATAACAATATTTATTTCAAACATCTTAGATTGAGATTACCTGCAAGAGCTAAACAGGTCACTATCACAGATTCTTGTCAATTCAAGTAAGCAGAAGCTGTATTATAACCTTTAGTATAAAGTTGTTCTTTTACTTTTGCTGTAGTTTTAAACCTCGTAAATATCAAATTTTGAATGTCAACCAGAATCTCATTTACTTTATTTCATTTTTGCGGTGTACACGTTCGGTACGTATTCAATTTTAAGGTTAATTAGTAACAGCATCTTACAGTTCTTGCCAGCATTACAGCTTAGTCTCGGCTGAGGTTTTCTTGTGCAGCGCTATTGACAGTATTTCAAATTGTATTGTCTGTTTGTTGTTTAAGTTGCGTCGTTGTTTTACTATTTTTTAATCATTTGTTTTTGGGCTGAGGTTTTCTTGTGCGGCGCTAATGACAGTATTTCAAATTGTATTGTCTGTTTGTTGTTTAAGTTGCGTCGTTGTTTTTTGTTTTACTATTTTTTTATTATTTGTTTTTGTGCTGTGGTGTTGCTGTAAATGTTTTCTATCCTATATATTCGTCAACGCGAAAAGTCCGATACGAACTCAAAATCCATAGGTATCTAAGAGCCGAGCCCTCAGCTCGAAAAAAAAATCATTAATATATGTAAATTACCTGTTGAATACTGCCGTTTTGTCATTGACTTACAATTATATGGACGCCGGGTCCGCGCTAAAAAGTGTCCGCACTTGTAAGGCGCTAAAATCGTATACAGAGCGCGACACTCCGCTTTAGTCTTCATTTGTTCTACGGACAGCGCGATACTGCGATGACATAACAATTTAAATTTCGAATAGGTTGACTTGGGACATTTTTTTCGTGGTTTTTGTATTAGACCCGTCGTCCATTTATTTGTAAGTCAATGCGTTTTGTGTAAAATTTCGAGGCAACTGTGTTTTTTCTATCGTGAAAATTTTTATGAATCGTGTTTTCACACCGTACAGTAATCAGTCTATATACTCAATTTTACTATATATTTTTTCCGAAATGATTTATTCAACACTTTCACTGTTATGCGGAACAACAAAGCCATTTCAGGTTGTATAGACTCTTAAGATCTGACATTAAAACTGTAATTTAAACTTCATGTTACATTTACATTTAATCTGTACCGTCGAGTGTATAACCAGAAATAGAGACGAAATAAGGGCCATACATTTCGGGTAACTCATCAGTGATACATCACTTATAAATGTCAACTCTCGTTTGCAGAAATATAGACAGCGCCAACAACTGATCCGTGTGTACGTACGTCTCCGTATATTCCAAAAATATTCTCTATTTATTTATATAAAGATAACACCATTCTTTGGTGTGGGTGAAATAACAAAATATCTAATCACAAACCAAACGGAATCAAATTTCATCTGTAATTAAATATGTAATTTTTCAATTTTCGTCCATTATAGCAAGCTCAAGTTAACTGGTCGATTTGAAGAAGTGATGACATTTCGTCTTTATTTCTGGTCAACATACTCGATGGTCTGTACATACTACTTATTATAATTTTTGTTTGTTATTAAATTTCTTATATTTGTTAGATAAATACTTACAAGTCCAGTGTTTTATTGAATGTCAGGATGTTTCCCCCACCATGATATTCAATTATTTCTTTTGTAAAATTACTCCACTACTTTGATATAATCATTAATATAAAGATCGAACATTTAGAAAAAATCCTATGATTAGATCCGACAAATAAGCACATAGAAAACATCGTGAAATCCGCTGGTTCGTTCCGTGGTCTAGTTGGCATAGCGTCTGGCACGGTTTGCTACTAGATGTCGACGACGACGACGACTAAGTAATAAATCTAAATAAATACTTACATGTCATAAAAAGTTTTAGAGTAACACTATTTTTATTTCATTAAAAACTTGTAGCTGAATAAATGTAAGTTTACTGTCTCTAAAAAAAGATCCAACTATACACTGAAGAATTTAGTTTTCTACAAACGGTGTTTCATTACAATAGAACACGTTAAATAATGACGTAAGGTGATGTACTCAGCTGTGCAAATATTTTTTGGTATTATCAATAGTTTAGGTTGTTTCAGTTTAATTGTTTAGGTATTTGTGATATATCTACGTATTAACGTAAAGTAGAAACGGTATCGGACCTAGAACGCAACCCTGGTGAACTCCGTCAATACTTTTTTGAAGTGAGATCTGAAGATTTGTTTTTAAGTATACTGTTGCTTTTTATTTCGATTTTGAAGTAGCTTTCTATTAAATAAAGTTTCCCTAATACCGTATGTTGTAGTTTACGTAAGGATTTGGAGTGGCAGACCATATCGAAGGCTTTACCCACCTAGAAAGACATTCATGCATCATGTAACATTTGTATTTACTGTACTTGGTGTAAATTTCAGCTCGATATCTCATTTACTCTGTGGTTTATTCAAATACAAAATTGTTATGTCCGTATTGAAAAATCTTTTACTAGACGTAAATTGGAGCTCGTGTTACCGAACACGGCAACACGAGTTCTTTTGTGGGGTAAGGTATTCAAATTATAATAAGATTTCAAAAGCTGTTCAAATATCATGTAAAGCCGACTTTACTAAAAATAGGATATTACTACATAAACGATAAGACAGTTTGTATCTAAAAATTGTGTAAATGTAACGATTTCAAATGTGATTTGCTTACCTACGAAATAAAGATAACTTTGATTTTATACAGACCCGGTTATTCTTCTTTTTTAAATGTGCAGATGGCTTACTATGAACTTTAATTTATTTCAAGGACGGAACAGGTTGTACGCAAGATATTTTTCCTCATTCTTAATTGCGTTCGGCGACTGGCGCAAGCGCTAGTTCAACGCTCCACCACGAGTGAGATCCCAACTCACAACAAATGGGCCCCGCGGCGAGCGGCTCTTTATTGTCGCATCTGGGCAACCAGCTGTTTAAATGGCAGTCATATTATATAGGCGGGTAAAATAAAGCAATACTATATTCCTCCTATTGTGTTGAATAATTCTCCGTTGAAGGTTGTAGACAGGGTCAAATATCTTGGTCACATTCTCAAGAGTGATCTGAACGATGATCAGGATATCGTAAGGGAGCGTAGGGCGTTAGCGGTTCGGAGTAATATGCTTGCCCGCAGGTTTGCTTGATGCTCATATGAAGTTAAGCGACGCTATTTAAAGCCTATAGCCAACCTTTCTACTCGAGTAGCCTGTGGGTGAGGTATACGAAATGTGCCTATAGCGCCCTGCGCGATAACAACACATTTAGAGTGCTAATGGGATTGCCAAAATGGTGCAGTGCTCCGGCCATGTTTGCGGAAGCTCACACAAGTCGAGTGTGGCAAAGTCTCAACAGTATTCTAAGTGCGATATCGGGAAATTTTGACTGTCCAATAGTAAAATTCTGGATATAGCAAACTAAGGGCGTGGCCCAGTTTATAGTGTAGTTATAAATTAAGTCTGCACTGTATTACTACTATACTAACCTTGTTTTTAAATTCTCGTACTAACATAGGTACTATGGATATTTTTAAAGGTCCGAAATAAATTATTATGTATTATTTATTTATTCATCTGTTACTTGATGAAATTACGGGCACATGGTATAACTCTAACTGGCACTGCTTTTTTTTTATAATATCAAGTGACGAGACGAACAAGTCGTGCGCCTGATGGTAAGCTAAACGCCTGTCCATGATAATTGTAGCGCCACTCAGAGCACAAAGATCTGAGGGTCACTGCCCCTGCGCCCGTCACCCTGTGACATAAGTTGACAAGTCCCATGTGCCTGTAATTTCACCAGCACCCTCCCTTCAACACCGGAACACAGTAATGTTGATAATACTGTTTGGCGGCAGACATAGGTGAGGTGGCAGCACTTCCTGGACGAACTCTTTCACAAGGAGCTGTACTGCTACGGATACTTCTGTGGACAGGTGTGTCGCTTCACTAGGCGCACGACTGAGCAGGTTGTCCCGTCACTTACTAAGTAAATGATATTGGAATTTTGTATCGAAATGACATAAAAAGTGTATTGGCTGCTTAAAATTTATTTCAATCCCTCTTATCAAAGTGAAAGTCAAATAATCATATTCCATAGGTAACATTTTTACACTTGGAAACGTAATTTTGTAAGCTACTGTTCGTTCACTACGCTGACCTGTGAGAAGAACGAGCAAGAAACTCTAGGGATTGATCTTTTCGAATAAACTTAAATGCTATGGAATATACTTTGAATCATAATTGTGTGGAATCTATACTCACGTTGTCTTTGCATACATCTTTATCTAAAACATACTCTTCAATTTTGCAATATACTTTTAATGCAAGTTTTAAACTTAGGATATGATAATCTTAATATGTTCTCCGGAATCTTATTGTAAAAACGTACCTATACAGTTGCCCATAAAACAATGGCTTACCTTAGTTAAACGAAATCGTGGTACCACGAGTTTGGACTTAGTTCCAAGGTTAATATTATGGAGATCTTCTTTCTTAATGAAATTATGTATATTTTTACGGATGAACACTAGGGCATGGTCCGCAATTTTGATTCGATATCAGTTTAAGGGTTTTTGATATCTTACATTTCTTGATATCTATCAACTGCTTCCGTGCTCTAACAGTTACCATGCTAGACTGCCATGCATAGGTCCCGGGTTCGATTCCCGGACCGGGAGAAATATTTGTATGGCCTACATTTATTTCTCACGCAAATTTGGGTGTAATTCGTGGTTGTCTATATCGCCCGCGATACAGGTTTTCCCTAGTGCGGGGCTGTGTGCGCGCGCGTTATTTACGGAATAACCGCCTGGGCACGCTTAACGATTACATCCTGTATATCTTATGAATTATATATATATATTATAATTATGATACATGTCTATTAATGACAATATTTTTATACGTGTAAACATAATATGATGCAACCTACAGGAAAAAAATAACAAAAATTTGTTATTTATATTTATTTGTTCATCATCATTGTTCTTTATACATATAATAAATGCTTTTCTATGTGTAATATTGATAAAATATTATACAAAAAATAGAATTATAAAATATTTTGTTAAAAGTTTTAGTATATGTATTTAAAATAATCTGAAATTGTTACAATGTTACACATTTATTTAGAAATCTGATTACAGTCAAATATTAGTAACTAAAATGAATGTTACAATCTTATTGTCACATGCATTAATATGTAAATATGTAACAAAATCTTCTATAATATTTATGCATAGCGTATGTGGAAGGGAGAAAACGGTCGCGCATATCCTATTTATTACAATTATAATCCTCTGGCGTGGTTAATTACAGGGAAAAGTACTTTGGACTGCCGATTGCAGAGACGACAGAATGATGCTAAGTTTCTTGGAGGAGCTCGGGTGTCTAGAGGCTGTGATGGCTGTTTTGACGTTTGTCCGCTCATCAAGTTCCGTATTAATTCATAACTACGTTGAAGGAGCTAATTGATGCACATTGTTGTTAACAGTGACGTGCACTAAAATTTATGGAATGTATAATTTTAAGACACAACTTGGCATTTGCTTTTCGAAATTTTTAAAAATGAAAACAAAGCAATTTCGAATTGACATATTAAGTAAACATTTTTATTTTTATTTCATTTAAACTTTTTAATCAGCTACCACTTGCAATACTAATCTAAAAATCTATAGATGCGATTCTCATTTGGTTATATATTTTTCGATAATGAATTGAGATTTGACCTTACTATTGTAATCTGTCAAAACGGCAATCTTACCGTGCCGGTACTATAGTCGCTTTTGATATCGAGTTGCGAATAATACAATCACCCACGCAAGTTGTGGTAAGGAAAATATTTCATTTCCCGATGACTAAGAATCTCGCTACAAATGCATATTAAAGATATGAGTATATATAGTATGATAACAACATAAGTATCAATAATTTTTGAAAGATCATGGCCCATTAAAGTATAAAAACTATACCCACAGCTAGTGTTGGGACATGGAAAAGTTTCCGTATTTCATGCTGACACCTGTCAAAACTTGAAGTTACTGAACGAAAACGATAGAGCCATTAAAAAAGTTCTTTTTTCGCTGTTGTAATGTAAAACCATCTTAACTCTCGTTCTTTAAGTGGCTATTAGATATACAAGTTTATTTTATAATTCACGCTAGATAAAAGTTCAAAAGATATTTCTAAATGTAAAACATAACAGGGATTTTTTCCGGAAAACTTTCTATTATTTGAGATTTTTCGGAAAATTACCATACAGTAACCACGGCGTACAGAAATGACAATTATGGCTAGATTTATAGAGACATGTGTATTTTACAATGGTACGTGTCGCTTTATTGAGTGTACTGGGAATTATAGAATAAAAAAAATATATATGAAACTGTATGTTAATGCAATGTGTGTTTTTTATTGATTGTTGATCACCCAGAGAACGATTTCGGTCTTATTCCTTTTATAACTGACCGCGCTGGGTTCGTGTACGAGTGTGACGATATATATTTTGACAGTAAGAGCATTTGCGCATTACGTCCTATTCGCATTAGTTCCGAATCCGGGAAATGGCGGTCCGAAATGTCGCAGGGATCATTTTATCTCTAGGTGTACAAGCGATATTAGAATTTTTTCCGAGTTTTCTAGATGTAAATCTAGAAATAGTTATATATTATATATTATATAATAGTTTCGGATTCGTAACAAAAACGAAAATAACCTAATTAGAGCTTTCACACAATAAAAAATATGTTTAATATCAAGTTAACACGTTAACTTCGTATAAATTTTTTTTACTTGTAAAGTGGTTTATAACTGCATAATTTAAAACTAATGTGGTTTTTGTACGCAGAAATCTATTAACAGGGTCAAATTGTGGGTCATGATCTTTATGTTACAATTTTATTTGTGCCATTGTTAATGTTAACTTGTGCTTCGATTAGTGACAAAAATAATGTATATTATTGTAATAATATTAAAATCTCGTAAAAATGTCACAATAGGCCTGTTTTTTATAACATATATTAAAAAGGTAACACTATCATGTTGCTGTGCTGGCTTTTTAAATTTTGATTTAAGTACGGTTGAATTTAAACTTTCTCTCAATGACTTTATTATTTTTTTACTTTGTTTAAAAGTTTGTATTTATTATAAGCCAAATTTTCCACGAGATTTTTGGTACAAGTATTATACTTATTATAATTGTTTTGTTTTTTCTGTTGTTGCTTAGACTTCGTTTAGTTCCATTGCGTCTTCTTTGCTTTGATTGTCGATTTTGTTTTTCTGTAACAAAAAAACAAAAATTGCTTTTGAACTAATTTGTGCTTATTATATTATTATATGGACAGTTCTCGTTAGCAATCACTTTAAAATCCAACTTCGGCTTCCTTCATATTTGGTGATTTTAACAATTCTATATCGCTCCTTGTAACTGTATCTATAACTAGCGCTGCTGCCGCTAGTGATGATCACAGATGCATCTATATAAGTGGAACACCTTTTTCCGATCATTGGTTATGATAAGGATGTTAGTATTCATGTACCTGCCACATATCAGGGTCCCAGTCTTCGAACAGCCGAATGAAAGCATCAGACTCCAGCCCCTGTTTGGTCACTACCACTGGAACGGAGTCGTGTTTGTATTTGTTGGTGAATGCCTGGAATAAAATTAACATATATTAGTTGTTATGATGTTAAATATCAAATCAGAATTAAAATTATGTTTATTTCGTAGGTAAGTTCAAGTGTGAAGAAAATATTCCCCGTCTAAGGGTTGCTAATTAGGTGATCATTATAGGCGCGACTTATTGGCGACGATAAGCTCGAGTATAAGCGGAGAGTCGAGATAATAAGCGGTTTGTGTAGTTGCGCTTGTGTTATCTATTTTATGCATGAAAAAATATTTTACTGGGCAACTTCATTCGGTTCGCGGAGTAGCAAATTAAGTTACTTCCATTTTTATGAACATGGACTTCCGCAAAGTAACGCCTGAATCTATTAATTACTTATTGGCACGTTGTTTTTACGAAAAATGTCAATTACGCTAATTTGCTTACGAGTCGATGCTACCCTAGCTCACAACCGTTCTGGTATTTGTTATACCATAGAACTGCTAGAGGACTGACTGCTAATCGCGTTACAAGACCAGATGTCGTGATGAGTACTAAATAGCCAGTTTTGTAACTAATTTGTTTTACATTGACGAGCTGCAATTTATCAAAGCTACTCTAATTTCTAGTGTTAACAAATAAATCAACTAGATGGCGCTTATTGCACAGATTTTTATGGATAGTGACAGCTATTGTTTAATTTTGTTTAGGATTAGCACCATCTACCCATTTCATTAAGCAGTAATCTAAAAACTAGTTTGTAACACACAATATCATCTATTAATACGCATATTTGTCAAAGGTCAGAATATAATTTTAGCTCATGAATATTTGAATAATATTACAAGGAAAATAAACTTACAAGTAAATATTTCATATGAAAGAGAAATTAATTGATATTCACGGCCTTTGCACTACATGCCTCTCGATTATTGAACGTCGGCAGACATTTTTTTTTCTTTCTTTGTGCGGAGATAGCCTGAACAATTATTCCACGGTCTCGATGCCCATTCCCTGATGTTACAAAGCTATGACGTTTTCCTTTTTCCAAGCTTCCGTTTCCCAACTACTTTGCCCGTCGTTATAGATGATACAAAGGTCTTTAATAGCCACAAAACTGCACCAAATTACCTGGTCTCAAACTAAAGGATACCTGTATTACGAGTACCATATAAACAGAATGAATAGGAACTAATACAAAATATAAAAACGTATTTTTTTGACGAACAAGTCGAGCCTGATGATAAGCGGCAAGTTTTTCCTGTACTAATACGGTTCATTTGACTTGGGTCAATTGAAAATTGGATATCACGCATTACACGTGTTGTATTTAGTTCAGAAGTGACAGTTCACTTCTGCGTCTCCTGTAGTAGAACTTCATGATGTTCAATAAACTTAACAGTGCAATTAATAAAGCCACGTCTGTAGTCAGCCTCTGATAGGTGTGTAGCCGCCAGACCCAAGTAGAAGATGACAAGGATCTCAAAGGCTCGTAAAATTTAAATATATTGGTAATAGGTAACTCGTTTACAGTGTTTACAGTGGTGGTGGTGACCTTTTTGAGTTCACACAAAAAGTTAGTTAAATTTTGGTATTGATGAAATAACATGTATGTGGTGTAAGTTGATTGGTTCAAAATAGACGCCTACGTAATGTGCCCTTGACGAGCGGTTAGTTACCGTTTGGAACGTTAGATTAAATTTTATTACAAAAATTCTGTTGCGTTCGCAACAGGTGTAGAGGGTGATTCTCGTAATCAAACCGTTACGATATCGTGGCGATTTAGTCATTCGTACTCACGTTGACATTGAACGTCAACGAGTTCCATTTTAAAGTCGTTCGACCCAAATGTCGTTAAAGCGTATTCTGGTTTAAGAATAGAACTTAAATCGACTCTAAACGATAAGTAGTACGTATTCTGCTAAAATTTTGACAGTTCTTTCAATAGACTTTCGACGACTAAATGTCAAATTTCACAATCCAAGATGTCGTTCATTAGTCGTTACGTTTCGATTCTACTCATATCAACGTTCGTTCAAGCGATACGTGAACACCCATTTTGGATAGGACTTCGATCAAACGACTACGTAACTTCAACGATATTTTGATACCTTGAACTTACGTGACGCACTACAGGTACTGATTGAAGAAAAACTATTATAAATTTCTCACAGATGGCGCTACGTTGCTGCGGCAAAACAAGTCGTTAAAACTAAAAATGACATGCAACAAGCACATAGATAAATTCGTAAGATCTGCTGATTCGTTCCGTAGCTCAGTTAGAGGAGCGTCAGCAAAGGTATGGCCATGGAGTCCAGCCGGTTCGAAGGGTTTTTCCTTTGTATTCAATTTTTGTATTAATAAAGCATCTTTACCGTGGCTATATCGATGGGTGATTTCCGTAACTGCTGCGAGGTCTCCTTGCCGATCCAGATGTACAATTCTTCACCAGCATCCAGAACGAAGGAATCGTGTTGGTCCAGATCCTGTATAACGGTGAGAAAACGAATCTTGTGAAAGAGTCCGTACAGTGACCTACTGCCACCTTATTTCTGTCGTCAAGCAGTAATATAAGCATGACGATGAGGCCAGACGAGCGTAATTTTGTGAGTTGCGTTTTTTGAGTTGCGCAGTTTGGGCTCGACCGAAATTTAGTTGGAGCGCCAGACGATCGTATTTTATTCAGTTGCTTTTAAACATTAGACGATGTTAGAAAAAATGAACTAAACTGGGTACATCCACTCAATATGAAAAGATTAAAGTATGGGCCATTTACTTACAAATAAATGGACGACGGGTCTAATACAAAAACCACGAAAAAAATGTCCCAAGTCAACCTATTTAAACGTAGTGACATGTAAAGGAATATGAAAAAGCTAAAACGTTGAATTTAAATTGTAATGTCATCGCAGTACTGTTTGCTTGCTTCGCTGTCAGTCCAACAAACGAAGACTAAAGCTTGAATTACGCTCTGTATACGATTTTAACGTCCTATAAGTTCGGACACTTTTTAGCGCGGACCCGACGTCCATATAATTGTAAGTCCATATCACTGGGCAGTTTCATATATTATATACAAGTTTATGTGAACATCCAGATCAATTTGTTAAGTACTACCAAATGCCAATAAATGTTTTTTTAAGTTCTAAGCCTAGTAAAACCTTTTATTACTAAGTCAAATACAAATGTGAGACAAGACCATCAATCCAGAGGAAAGACTAATAATAACAATCAAGCAAGTTGTTCAATTATTTATATTTTAATCTCCGAACATTTTCGCAAGAAACTCACGCGCATCCTATACCAAAGTAACCCCTTCCCTCACCCCTACCTACACCCACGCCAGCCCGTCACGCGATGCGACCGAAAGTCTGTCGTCATTACGCCCGTGAGCAGATAACTCATTTTGCGTCGTCGTGTGAAACAAACCGCATTTGTATATGAAACCGAATGCAGCGCAAACTACGCAACTCAAAGTATGCGACCATAACTCACAAAATTAACAATAACGCACACACTCAACATAGCCCGCACTAGGGAAACCCTGTGTCGCGGGTGACACGGACACACACATAGACAACCACAAATTACACCCAAACTCACGAGAGAAATAAGTTTAGGTCATACAAATATTTCGCCCGGCCCGGGAATCGAACCTGGGGCCTCTGCGTGGCAGTCCGGCATGGTAACCGTTCGACCACTGAGGCAGTTAAATAATTACGCTCGTTTGGCCTCACACTTACTGCGTTTTACTTTTGAAAGATTTGTAGATGTGGCTTTGTTATACCAAACGTGCGACTCAAACTAGTGTTCGGCTGTAATATTGAATTTTGTAATAAAAACCGGATTTATCAGGGATCTCGGACAGACTGATTCTTCATAATCTGGTAATTTTCAATCATCTCAGTTGTTTGTCGATAAAGTGCCAAAGGCAGGTCGATAAAGTGTCAGGAGAGCACCTTGTGAAAGAGTTCGTCAAGGGCAGTACTGCCACCTATTTCTGCCACCAAGCAGTCAGAATTAGAGATTCGGTTTTGAAGGGTGCTGGTGAAATTACGGACTTGTCAACTTGCGTCTCAAAGTGAGCCCCTCATAATTTGTTATTTAAAGCTCTAAGTAGCGCTGCAGCTGTTATTGACAGGCGTGTCGCTTACGCTCAGACGCGCGACTTGTGCGTCCGCAAGACAAGTGCCATTTGCCTATAATTTCACCAGTGCTCTTACTCTTCAAAACCCAAACGCAGTAGATTGTTGCTTGGCGGCAGAAATAGGTAAGGTGGCAGTACTTCACTGGACGAACTCATTCACAATGAGTACAACTGCTATTTACGAGAGGCGGATGAAAAGTAATTTACCTATGTACAACCAGCCTAGAACGATATCTAAATATCCTTAGAATAATAACACATAGAAACCTCGTCCGCACACGCTGAGTGAGGCAAATTGAAGCGCGCCCAATGGGCCTACACGAGCGGGCGGGCCTTCAGTGCTCAAGGTCAACTTGCACCGCGAACTTGATCTGTGAATTTTAGCTAAAAAT